GGGTTAATAAAACGTTATCTTAAATGTTAAAGTGTGAACCTGAAAGGTTCCATATGTGAAGACCTACCTTACCATACCTGTTGATTCTGCCAGAAATCCAGTAGGCTGGTAACCTTCTGTACACTAAAGGCTTAAGCAGTGTTATCACCCTGGCCAGCTCACCTCTGTGTACTGCAGAACACCTCCCTGCTATGTTATGGAGAGGAGTAGAGGGGAATCAGGGCATGATCGTTATCACCCTAGTACAGGAAGTGTGTAATTGGCAGAATCCCCCGGTGAAGATAAAATAAAAGAAGCCTGAGATAGAAAACAAATGCAGCCACCACACCTACAGACTAGTGAGATGCTATACAATACATTTTTGTTCTTGGTTTATATACACTCCAATGGAACCATTGTGTTAATGTGACACTATTATAGGATAATCATCCTCCTCCATGTGTTCCTTTCTGTCTAGTGTGTAATGTGAACAGATGGAGGCTCCGAGAGGATACAAACAAGAGGGAAACATTTATTTTTAGCTGGAGATGGCATATCTCGGAGGGTCACAACAATATTTCACATGGCTGCAGACTATTACAACTACAAGTGCTATTTCCATACCTGCAGCATGCACGGACTGGGGACATGTGCCAGTATATATTGGTTATGGATCATTCTGGCATGCCTGTGTGTCAGTGTATCTCTGCTGTGATAAGTGTCCGTGCAGTGGTGACTAGAGGGTGTATCCAATCATCAGGCACTGATCCAACCAGAGTCCAGATCTTCAATTTTCCCCCGCAGCAGGTCAAAGTCTCCCACATCGACACTGCCATCACTGGAGCTTGTGCCCTGGAGAAGGCAGAGACCTTTGGCTTGTTGAAAGGGACTATTCACATTCCCTCATAGGAGTATGCGAGATTATGAATAGTTCTAATAAACTTGATGTTTGCACTATTCCAGTGAACCTTTGTGTTTTTTTTATGTTCACAAAAGTACAGAAGGTCTAATGTAGCACAATGTCGGCATTGGATAAGGTATTTATTTCCCAGAAGCTACCAATCAGATGAAACTTTCAGACTTTTAATGTAATTTTCCAGGGCATGCTTCAATCTAGCTGACGACTAATCAGTAATAAAGTGTAAACTTTCACCAAGTGTCTAGGTCAGGTGTCCTTAAACTTTCTAAACAAAGGGCCCGTCCACTGTCCTTTATACCTTAAGGAGGCTGGACTGTGGTTGTGTCTAGTGCCTGTGGTTAGTAGGGGGAAGAATGATGCTTCATCTGTGGTATCAGTAGTAGGAGCACTGCATCTTTGTTAATGTCTGTGGAATGAGGAATAGTGCCCCATCATTGGTGTCAGTGGGAGGAATAGTGCCCCATCATTGGTGTACGTAGGCGGAATAGTGCCCCACTGTGGGTGTCAGTAGTTGGTATTAGTGGGAGGAATAGTATCCATCATTGGTTTCAGTGGAAGGTATAGTGCCCCATTGTTGGTGTGAGTGGGAGGGACAGTGCCCTATTGTTGTCATTAGAGAGAGGAATAGTGCCCATTGTTGTCGTCAGTGGAAAAAATAATGCCCCATTGTTGCATCAGTGGGAGGAATAGTGTCCCATTTTTGGTGTCCATAGAAGGAACAATGCCCAATGTTTGGTGTCAACAGGAGAAATAGAGCCGCATCAGCGGGAGAAATAGCTCCCCATTTTTGGTATCAGTGGGAGAATAGCTCCCCATTTTTGGTAGCAGTGGGAGGAATAGCTCCACATTTTTGGTGTCAGTTGGGAGGAATAGCTCCCCATTTTTGGTGTCAGTTGGGAGGAATAGCTCCCCATTTTTAGTGTCAGTTGGGAGGAATAGCTCCCCATTTTTGGTGTCAGTTGGGAGGAATAGCTCCCCATTTTTAGTGTCAGTTGGGAGGAATAGCTCCCTATTTTTGGTGTCAGTTGGGAGGAATAGCTCCCCTTTTTTAGTGTCAGTTGGGAGGAATAGCTCCTCATTTTTGGTATCAGTGGGAGGAATAGCTCCCCATTTTTAGTGTCAGTTGGGAGGAATAGCTCCCCATTTTTGGTTTCAGTAGGAGGAATAGCTCCCCATTTTTAGTGTCACTGGGAGGAATAGCTCCCCATTTTTAGTGTCAGTTGGGAGGAATAGCTCCCCATTTTTGGTTTCAGTAGGAGGAATAGCTCCCCATTTTTAGTGTCAGTTGGGAGGAATAGCTCCCTATTTTTGGTGTCAGTTGGGAGGAATAGCTCCCCATTTTTGGTGTCAGTTAGGAGGAATTGCTCCCCATTTTTGGTGTCACTGAGAGGAATAGCTCCCCATTTTTGCTGTCAGGAATAGTCCCTCAAGAGCCGGTTAAAGACAAGCAAAGGGCTGCAGTTCAGAGACCACTACTCTATGTAATACATTCACAAACATACGGCTGAACTTGTTCATCAGAATAGAGGAGGGAGGTTTGTGTAAATGGAGGTTTTGACTCTAAATGGGTAGACCTGTGTTAGAAAATGAATATATTTTCAACATTATGCCTTTCAAATTGGCTGGAATAATTTTTTTTTTGTGTGTGTGGAGTCCTTTCCTTAGCCTTTGAATGAATACATATTAATTGAGTCCCTGGTATAAAATCATCAACCTAAACTCAGGAAAGTTTGAATCCAATAATCAGAACAACAAGAACTGATTCTATAATTCTTCAGGCTTATTATCATAAGAAGAATGAATACTAATTGGAAAGTACTGTGTGGAGTTTTCCTATGTGCTGCATGCATCAGCATAGCCAGAAGGCCGGGGGTGCTGTATATTCCCTGTGTAGAGTCACTGGAATATTGTGTTACAAGGTTGGTATGCAGCATTTAAGCCGGGTGCAGCTGTGGTAGCCTTTTAGCTTTCAAATGTAGACCACATTGACTTAGGAAAATCAATTTACCATACGTTAATGCAAAGCTCATGGTCAGAAGGCATCTACTTAACTGACATGTTGAACTGGCATCTTACTAAGTGTACGCTTAGACGACACAACGGCTGGCCATACTACAGATTTATGTGCAGTGAATGAATATTAAAGGATAAAGCACCTTTACACACTTTACTGGCTAAGGTATTTTTTTTTCAATTCCAGGAAGCAGAATACCTTTGTTAATTGTTTCCACTCCCTCCTCTTTTTTTTTTTTATAATGTCCACACGGGGTCTTAAAGTAGAACTGTGGTCAGGCTATAGACACTAAAAAAATTGCATCCCTTTCACTGATCATAACAAATCAATTGCTCATTTTTGCAAAGGGGATGGACTAGCAATTTGCATCTGGTCCGGTGACAGCAGTCCAGTCCTTCAAACTCCAGCACTGGACTGTGGGCAGGCACTCCTACCAGCAGTCACATCCCATCCTGATCATGTGGCCACTGCTGCTGCACTGATAACAGTGCAGGTGTGATGAGGGTGGCAACAAGACCAAATGGAGACCAACATAAGAGCAGCTACAGATACTCCCCTACTCCTCCTCCTCCCCCTTCCCCCCGCAAGGGTTAAGTGCTTGTTTAGGCCTAGGGGACCGGACTAAAACACTTTAACTTACCTGATCACCTTTCAGTGGCGTCACAAGAGGGGTGCGGGGGGTGCGGCCGGGTGACACCATTGGAGGGGTGACACCAAAATGACTCAGTCATTTTGGTGTCAACCCCTTCTGAAAAGTCGGGCACTCGGCCATGGACGAGTCATGCGCAGTGACGTCTCGGCGGGGTGACGCTCTGTTACCGCTCCGGGTGTCACCCAGCCTCGGGACGCCCTTGTCACCTTTCCACCTGCAGTCAGCCCTCACCTCTCTCCCCTCCATTCTGGTTGTGAACTGTCCCTGACGTCAATAGTTCTAAAGGTGCCCATACACTGCACGATTCTCGTACGAGAATCGCGGGAAATCCCTGGATCGTACGAGAATCGTGCAGTGTATGGAAGGCGTGCGACCGTTTCTACTGTACGGTCGCACGTCTTCCGTCGAACCAGCAGGCTAGAAAACCAGCCGGGAATCGTACGATTCTCGGCGAGTTAGTGGCCTGCTTGTTCGACAACTGCCGAACGGGCCGGTGTGCGCACGCGCACACTGCCCGTTTGCCGTCATCGCAAGTACGATCTGCCTGTCCAAGATGGGCAGATCGTACGTTTTTTTAAGTACTTTACAACCCTCGCAAGACAAAAGTCTTGCGAGGGTTGTAAAGTGTATGGGCACCTTTAGACTTCCGGAGAGAGAGAAGAAAAGGCGGAGAGAGGCTGTAAATTCAGGGGGAGCGAGATCAGGTAAGTAAATTAGATTTTTCCTGAGCACTTAACCCTTGCAGTGCAGGGGTAGCTCCACTACAAGGATAGCTTGCCCAGAGATAACTCGGCCGTACACCAGTAGAATTTTGTTTGAAATTCTGAAAAACCGCTCATCAGAACATTTGATGATGCCATCATTGTGTCAACTATTTCTGCCATTTTCAAAAGCGCTTTCCACCAGACCTGCTATTTGAATGGAATCTCAGACATGTTAAACTGGTTAATTCTGTGACTAGCACATGTGCATTACTATATATATGAATTTTCCTGAATGGAAATCACATTTACGGTCAGAATTTTGAAAGAAAGAGAAACAAATTTTCCCTCCTGAGCCCTTACATTTTCTTATCCATGCTGTAGAAAATGATCGTCGATTTGTCCCCGTTAACCATCAGAAAATCAAACAAATGTTCAGAAAAAGGAACTTTAAAAAAAAAAAATCCAATGCTGTATGGCCAGCATTACTGAACAAAGGCTGCAAGAGCTTACAAGGATACAGTCCCCATACAGACAAGTGCTCTAATGCAAGCTGGTAAGTGTTAATTAACACAGCTCATTAATACATATAAATAAGGAGAGAGAGAGAGATCTCACAGTCATGTGACCTGGCTCTGTGCTCCTGGCTGATGCCAAGCGTCTGGGTGACTCGCATGTGAGAACGCCGCTCTCTCTGCTGCCACCTAGCGGTCACTCAGCTCATTTGTTCTCCTGCTCCCCCGTCTACTTCTTCATTTAGCCATTTGCGGTAGATGAATGTATCCATGCTGATTAGATTTGCTCTGGGCTCGGGAGGGAGTAATGCATTAACGAAAGGTGATTTTGTAGCTGGCGCCCGGATCTGATGAAGGAGAAGTATTAGTGAGCCGCCCATCCACAGACATAGAGCAGTCTGAGCATTGACCTGTCTACACAGGCTGCACACAGACAGACAACAGGCAGCAGAAGTCTCCTGATCCCTCCGGCACGATCGTGGCCCTCTCCAAGGTGCTGAACCTTCTCCTTGACCTCTTCAAGGGTCTCCACCCTGATAACATGGCAACTGTGGAAATATAGAAGTGGGTTGATTCCATCATCCCTTCGCCTCTATCTCCTGTCCTGGTGATCGAGACCACCCCTGGAAAGCCTGCAAAGACCTGCATTCATCATGGCTACCTGGAAGGATGCTTCACTCTGGAGTCCATCACTACTACTTCTACTATTCGGTATGTAATTCATTCCTGTCCGGTGCTTATGTATTCTTAGCGTGTCATTGTAGAACAATAGATGGGAGGTGGGGAGTGCTTCATTATCAATGCACAGAGCAGTGCAGCAGAAGAGCGGCCATGCAACTTTCAAGTGGCACATATTATATGGCCTTTAAAAATAATCAGATCTGTAAATATTGTTGAGTCATAAATACTACTGAAGCGCACCTACCAAATAGAGAGATCAAGATTTGTTGTTTATTCATGTTTTCTTAAAGTTTACATTTACAAAATGCAAACTTTACTTGTGTTAACAGCAGAACACGGTATCCATGGTATGGAATAGGAATGTTGTGTATATACGATAGCACCAAAACTGCCAAACCATGTGCATGTGATAGGACAAGGTAAAGAACCTGACAAAGACATGGGCAAGACACAAAGAGGAAGAAGAAAGGGGGGTAAATGGGGTACCTGATAGTAAAGGAGGGGTGCCAGGCTCCAGCGACAGACAATATACAAGGTATCGGAGAACCACCTAGAACAAATCCATGGTTGATAACGTGCGAGTCTGGGTTGCTTCGAGGACATGGTATAATATGTGATGGGTGCAAAACAAAAGGTGAGATACACCGGGCCAAGGACCGTCTTGTAGCAAGTACGGTGGTGACTCATTGTAATACAGTAGGGACCACAATTTTGTTTTCTATGGCTAGTGGCACTTTATGGTATAGTCATCAGGATCAGGTAGATAACTGATTGTTTAAACTACAACCAGCATGCCCAAGTCACGTAAGACTGGACAATATTTGGACCAACCCCTGTTTGTTGTTGGCATCATACAATCCATATATTCAAAAATTCACACAGAAATATCAGCTCAGTTATGGTGCTCCCTGTCTCATCCAGTCCCCCGTCTTCAGACCAGGACCCACATCACACATGATAGCAAGCCTTTGGATCCAATGACATACCAGCACAGCTATGGTGCTCCCTGTCTCATCCAGTCCCCCGTCTTCAGACCAGGACCCACAGCACACATGGGAGCAAGCCTTTGGATCCAATGACATAGCAGCACAGCCACGTTGCTCCCCGTCTCACCTATTCCCCCTTCTACAGACCAGGATCCACATCACACATGGGAGCAAGCCTCTGGATCCAATGACATAGCAGCACAGCTATGGTGCTCCCTGTCTCATCCAGTCCCCCTTTTTCAGACCAGGACCCACATCACACATGGGAGCAAGCCTCTGGATCCAATGACATAGCAGCACAGCTATGGTGCTCCCTGTCTCATCCAGTCCCCCTTTTTCAGACCAGGACCCACATCACACATGGGAGCAAGCCTCTGGATCCAATTACATAACAGCACAGCTATGGTGCTCCCTGTCTTACCCTGTCCCCCATCTTCAGAACAGGACCCACATCACACATGGGAGCAAGCCTCTGGATCCAATTACATAACAGCACAGCTATGGTGCTCCCTGTCTTACCCAGTCCCCCATCTTCAGACCAGGACCCACATCACACATGGGAGCAAGCCTCTGGATCCAATTACATAACAGCACAGCTATGGTGCTCCCTGTCTTACCCTGTCCCCCATCTTCAGAACAGGACCCACATCACACATGGGAGCAAGTCTCTGGATCCAATGGCATACTGCTTTCATTTCCCTTGCATACAGTTGTATCTGTACAGCTTGTGTTGAAAACAAGCCTAAAATATATTGTGAGCAATGTTATCAAAGAGCAGAACACAGCCATAATTGGAGGGCCCCTGGGAGCCCATGTGCAGCATGCAGACTGGTTCAGGGCTCACAGGTTAGAAAACATTATGCAGCATCTGTGGATGTTATGATGTCATCACACACATTACTCAGGTTCTGTACCCTCATTTCTCTTATTGGGTCACTGCCATGTGTAGTCCTTGTGCCCCATCTGCAGGTCACTTCCATGTGTTGTCCTTGTGCCCCATCTGCAGGTCAATGCCATGTGTTGTCCTCATGCCCATCTGCAGGTCACTTCCATGTGTTGTCCTTGTGCCCCATCTGCGTTTGGACTACACATCTGCAGGTCACTGCCAAGTGTAGTCCAAACGCCCCATCTGCAGGTCACTGCCATGTGTAGTCCGCATGCCTTATCCACAAGTCACTGCCATGTGTAGTCTGCATGCCTTATCCACAGTTCACTTCCATGTGTAGTCCAAATACCTCATCCACTGGTCACTGCCATGTGTAGTACCCATGCCCTATCCACAGGTCACTGCCATGTGCAGTCTCCATGCCCCATCCACAGGTCACTGCCATGTGAAAGTCCTGATGCCCCATCCACAGGTCACTGCAATGTGTAGTCCTCATGCCCCATCTACAGGTCACTGCCATGTGCAGTCTTCATGCCCCATCTACAGGTCACTGCCATGTGTAGTCCTCATGCCCCATCCACAGGTCACTGCCATGTGCAGTCTCCATGCCCTATTCACAGGTCACTGCAATGTGTAGTCCTCATGCCCCATCCACAGGCCACTGCCATGTGCAGGCTCCATGCCCCATCTACAGGTCACTATCCATGTATAGCCCTCATGCCCCATCCACAGGTCACTGCCATGTGTAATCCTCATGCATCATCCATAGGTCACTGCCATGTGTAATCCTCATGCATCATCCACGGTTCACTGCCATGTGTAGTCCTCATGCCCCATCCACCGGTGGGTGAATCAGATATTTGGAAACCCCACTGTGAACGAGAACCAAACATGTACAACAGGTCATTTTTCTGATGCTGTGCAATATTGCATAGAAACATGATCTGCAAACTAGAGTGGGCCCATATGGGTGACATATGCTGGAAGGACTAATATAGATACAAATTGGCTGGTCTGTGCTTATCTGTCAGAACGGCTTGTTCAGTGTCCTTTAAACAGCCACAGAAATATTCCACTATGCCTTATGTACTCAGCACTGTTGACAAAAATAATGACACAAAGAAGAACTCTAGACTGAATGATCGTCTGTACACAGTCCGCTCCGTGGAAACTGTTAGTGTCATAAAGCTGAACTCCAGGATTTTTGCTTGAATCTTGGATTCTTCCAGATCTGTGCAGTAATCCAGTCACATTCCCTTCCTGTAACCTTCCAGACAGGAAGTTCTTTCCAGCAGGGTCCGAGTATGGCCTCTAAAGCTGTGGCTGAGGATACCCCCATCTAGATAGCTACAAGAGACTAGCTCAAGCAGCGTATAGAGATAGATTGAAGAAAAAATGATCTTGAGGAAACAAAATGGCAATAAAATGGGTAAACGTTTATCAATAGAGAAAAGGCACCTTTCCCCCTAGGACACTAGCAAATAACTGAGGCAGGCTGGGGCATGAACACCCCTCTGTGTTTAAGGTCTTGATCTCAGCACTGCTTTATTACAAAAGGCAAGCTGGGACTGTGAGGGTTATACCAGGAGGGTCACTGGTTTTTGTTTTCCAGTGTCCAAATCAGTGGCAGACCTAAGGAACCAAGGGCCCTGGTGCAAGATTGTTTTTCAGCCCAACAAACCCCCACTCAGAAGCCCATCACACAGTAGGTCTGCCCCTGGATCTCTATATACACAGTGGGGAGCACAGCACACAGTGATCTTTATATACACAGTGCGGAGTATAGCACACAGTGATCTTTATATACACAGTGCGGAGTATAGCACACAGTGATCTTTATATACACAATGATCTTTATATACATAGTGAGGAGCACACACTGATCTATATATACATTGATCCATATATACACAGATATCACAAATATCACTATGTACACAGGAATCTAAGCCCTCTATTTTGGGCCATCCGTCACAATCTTTGTATACGTTGGAACAACAGCAAAGTGGGTCAAAAGACAATTGTTATTAAAATTAGAGCCACCAGTTCACAGATGACACTGAGCCATCAGGTACAACACTGTCCCTTCTTCTTTTCCAACGTGAGGCTTCCCCAGAAGGCCACCAGTGCAAGTGGAGCAGATCACAATCCCCTTCCTTGCCGCCCTCTTTGATGATGTTAGGAGCTGGAACTACCATTGAACTGATATCAACCTGCCCGGTGGTACTCAGCAGGACTATGTGTCAGGGCATTGAAGCCACCCTTGAGCAGATATAAATCCGCTGTAACTGTGGAACTGTAGATCCAGGACCTGGAAGTATTGCACATCTCCCCACGCAAGGTGCTTCTAATCTAAGCAACAGAGAATGGCGCTCAGGTGCTGTTCTAGCTGTTGTGAAGATGTGCAGGGAGTTAGGCCCCATTCACACCTGACCGTTTTGTAGCGCGTCCTACGCTCGATGAACGCTCTACAAAACGGTCAAAAAAATAAATAGCATTACAGTCAATGGTATCGTTCCCACCTGTCCGTATTTCCGCCCGTCCCGAACGCACTACAAAACGGCCCACGCATGAAAAGGTCCCGGAGCGTTTTTTGCTGCGTATTGGTCCGTTTTGTATGGCGTTTTCCATTTGTATACTGCCAAGTAGCCTTTGGAATCGCGCGACTTTTTTACCGCGAATCGCGGTAAAAAAACGCGCGACAGACGCGCATATTACAATATGCATAGGTGTGAATGGGGCCTAAGGATAGGCAGGATATAACGATAAGGATGCTACAAGACTACAAGGGAATACATTTAGATTTTGTACTTTTTTCAAGCAAAACTCTTTCCTAACCAGCAAAACTCCACTGAGAGACTATAAATAATACGATTCGCCCTGCGGTACATCAGTGAGCTCCCTCATAAAATTGAATTGTCAGTCCAGTAAAAGCTTCAAAAACTGTCCTGACCACAGAAAACGAAGTTCGATGTATTGCTAACTGTTTGGCTAGGAACCGGCTCTCACCGGCTGCCGAATATATATTGATGACAGATGCAGAAAGTTCAAGCAGCTGAAAGCCGATCCTGTGATAATGCATTCTTAATTTACATTACAGTCGTTCTCTTTGTAGTATCAGAACCTGAACAGCTGGCTGCATAGTGCAGATATTGACGTATAGTACCGACAACTAATGCAAAGTAACAAACTGCTCATCCATTTTACAGAAGATCGATAAGGAGATGAGTCTATAAAACATTTTGCCCTTCAATCAAAAAACAGTGTAGAAGAGTTTTGAATTGTTACTGAAGCCCAGACCAGCCAACCACCCATATCTCCCTTCCATTCTGCAGTGGGGGGACCGAAAGGGAGTATCTGAAGGGCTGCCATGGGCCCCCCGAGAGTTCTTTCTCTAGCCACTTATAACAAGGCTCCTGATTACAAATGCCTAACTCTTCTGTATTTTAAATAGACTGTTCATTTGAGACACATGACATACAATTGCAACAGAAAATACCATATCTGCTCAGGGTCCCCCTGGAGCTGGGATCTGCAGTGGCACCTGCTAAAGAAATATGGTACTGCGGCCCATCTTAAAACTATAATTATTCTTTAAAGTGACATTAAACCCTCAGATTACCTACGCTCGATGAACGCTCTACAAAACGGTCAAAAAAATAAATAGCATTACAGTCAATGGTATCGTTCCCACCTGTCCGTATTTCCGCCCGTCCCGAACGCACTACAAAACGGCCCACGCATGAAAAGGTCCCGGAGCGTTTTTTGCTGCGTATTGGTCCGTTTTGTATGGCGTTTTCCATTTGTATACTGCCAAGTAGCCTTTGGAATCGCGCGACTTTTTTACCGCGAATCGCGGTAAAAAAACGCGCGACAGACGCGCATATTACAATATGCATAGGTGTGAATGGGGCCTAAGGATAGGCAGGATATAACGATAAGGATGCTACAAGACTACAAGGGAATACATTTAGATTTTGTACTTTTTTCAAGCAAAACTCTTTCCTAACCAGCAAAACTCCACTGAGAGACTATAAATAATACGATTCGCCCTGCGGTACATCAGTGAGCTCCCTCATAAAATTGAATTGTCAGTCCAGTAAAAGCTTCAAAAACTGTCCTGACCACAGAAAACGAAGTTCGATGTATTGCTAACTGTTTGGCTAGGAACCGGCTCTCACCGGCTGCCGAATATATATTGATGACAGATGCAGAAAGTTCAAGCAGCTGAAAGCCGATCCTGTGATAATGCATTCTTAATTTACATTACAGTCGTTCTCTTTGTAGTATCAGAACCTGAACAGCTGGCTGCATAGTGCAGATATTGACGTATAGTACCGACAACTAATGCAAAGTAACAAACTGCTCATCCATTTTACAGAAGATCGATAAGGAGATGAGTCTATAAAACATTTTGCCCTTCAATCAAAAAACAGTGTAGAAGAGTTTTGAATTGTTACTGAAGCCCAGACCAGCCAACCACCCATATCTCCCTTCCATTCTGCAGTGGGGGGACCGAAAGGGAGTATCTGAAGGGCTGCCATGGGCCCCCCGAGAGTTCTTTCTCTAGCCACTTATAACAAGGCTCCTGATTACAAATGCCTAACTCTTCTGTATTTTAAATAGACTGTTCATTTGAGACACATGACATACAATTGCAACAGAAAATACCATATCTGCTCAGGGTCCCCCTGGAGCTGGGATCTGCAGTGGCACCTGCTAAAGAAATATGGTACTGCGGCCCATCTTAAAACTATAATTATTCTTTAAAGTGACATTAAACCCTCAGATTTTTTTAACATAAAACAATACTGTAATGTGCGCCTTACTGTAATCCATGGTTGTTTCCCTTCTCTTTGCTGCTCTTCCTTTTAAATCTGTTCTCATGCTGGGCAGAACTTCTGTTTTGCAGCAGACTGCCTTGTCTCTGAAATGGATACATGGTGTCTGTGTGTAGGTTCACAACCTGAGCCAGCACTACAGGAAGAGGCCCTGAGCTGCAAAGGGAAGTTCTCCCCAAGCATGAGAAGACATGAGGATTTAAAAGGAAGAGCAGCAAAGAGAAGGGAAAAAGCCATGGATTACAGTAAGGCACACATTACAGTATTGGTTTATGTTAAAAAATCTGAGGGTTTAATGTCACTTTAAGGAAACTGGAGCAATTTTTTTGATCAGACTTTGGTCCACCAGACAGGGATCTCTGGAGTCAAGAGACTGTGACACGGAGGGGCCCAACTCAAACACGGCATTTCTATTTTTCCAGTATACGTCATTCATATTACAACTGGAGGTTTGGACTTAGGAAGAAACTGTTCTCAATAAAATATAACATATTTAAATATAGAAAAATCATTATTGTTCTTTTATGACTCACCAATACTGATGTTGAAGGCTTATCCAATCTTTCCAGCTATATTATTCAGCCTGTTGTATTGACCAAGTTACCCAGTGTCTGTGTCCTATTAAAAAGAGAACCAGAAATTATCTCCTTTTCTGCTTTTTTGGAGCACATATCCTATACTTATAATGGTTGCATTATCATGTAGTACTGAGCTATGCATACTGCCTTTCAGTGAAATGGGATAGATGGATAGATAGATAGATAGATAGATAGATAGATAGATAGATTCACTTTATTAGGTACTCCCTTCTAGTACCGGGTTTGGCCCACTTTTGTCTTCAGAACCCTAAATGTGTGGTATAGATTCAACAAGGTGATGGAAACATTCCTTTTAGTGTTAGGTCTACATTGACATGATAGCATCACGCAGTTGCAGTAGATTTGTCAGGTGCAAATCCATGACGCGAATTTCCCGTTTCACCTCATCCTAACGGTGCTCTATTGGATTGAGATGTGGTGACTGTGGGGGCCATTTGAGTACAGAGAACACATTACTCAAGAAATCAGTTTAAGATCATTTTAGCTTTGTGACATGGTGCATTATCCTGCTGGAAGTAGCCATCACAAGGGGTACACTGTGATCAAAAGGTAATGGACAAGGACAACAACAATCCTTAGGTAGGCTGTGACATTTAAATAATGTTTATTTGTCACTAAGGGGCTCGAAGTGTGCCAAGAAAATATCCCCCACACCATTACACCACCAGCCTGAACCATTGACACAAGGCAGGTTGGATCCATGCTTTCATGTTGTTTATGCCAAATTGTGACCTGGCCATCCAAATTACAATTTAGAAGATATGTAGTCGGCACACCATACTGCTTCGGAATGTCATCACTATTCGTAATCCTTTAGCATGACATGGGAATGCAACGTTTCAAGGCCTCACAGGACCCCTTCGTCTGGCCAAGTGTCCAACCATCCTTCCAAATGTTGCAGCAAAAATTGAGATTCATCAGACCAGGCAATGTTTTTCCAATATTCTATTGTCCAATTCTTGTGAGCCCTTGTGAATTGTAGCCTCAATTTGCTGTTCCTAGTTGACAGGAGTGGCACCCAGTGCGGTCTTCTGCTGCTGTAGCCCACCTGCAGCTGTTGAACAGGTGTACCTAATAAAGTGGCCAGTAAGTATATATACTGTACATATATAAATTTTCAAGAGTTTTTGAACACCTCATATATTTCCACTGAAACAAATGCAAATAACTCTTTGACAACCATTTCCATAGTCCTCATGATAGACTGCTCTTGGATTGTATGTTTTCTGATTTGCTGTTTGCCAAAAAGCATGAAACACTTGTCCACAGATGACTTGTATATGTTTGAAGAGCTAACTTAGGAGGAAGGTAAATCAGAATTTAATTTGGTTGTATGGGTCAGTTGGTATGTATTCATTCCAGATGTAATAGATACAGAATGCTGATACCGTGTCTTGTACATAATACAATAAATTAAGAAAACATAATATAAAATATATACTAAATTATTTTGTATGTGGTCAGTGCCCAGCTGATTAGATCTGGACTAACAAGTTTATTCCTTCTTCTGTCTCCCCTTTACTGTATTTTTGTGTGTTCTGTGGCCCTGTTGCCAACCCCATTGCTGTTCTTATACTTTTTTTTCCCCCCACTTGTTGTCCCTTTATCGTATTGTTCTGTCCCTTTATCATATTCTCACTCATTTTGTTGTCTCTGACATGATCCTTTTTGTGTTCTCGTGTATTCCTTTATGCTGCTGTTGTGTTTATGTTTTTCTTTTTCTTGGTCTACCCTGGTGTTGTATGCCCTCCTTGCCTTCTCTGCCCTGCTCCTTGTTTTGGTGTACGTGTGTCCCCTTTTCTTCTTATGCTGGTGATGTCTGCAGTTGGGTTCTGCTCGCCTGTATGTGTTGAGGTTCCTTCTGGAACAGAGGCCGTGCGAGGACAAAATATGACCTTGTTGTGCATCTCCTGCATGCAAAGAGAGGAGGTCTCCGCCATTACCAATGTTGAATGGTACTATGAACCAACAAATGGGAATGGAAACAGATCGCTTGTATGTATTTTGTATTCTCTATAAATATTTTGTAACCTTGACCTGTGTATTTGAGCTATGAAGCAGTAACTCCCTTTTGCCTGGTTTGAACTCGCCCACGATGTTGCAAGGAGATGTAAGGCTAAGCGCTTTGGAAGTTTCTTACAGTAGAGGAGGACATTTTGGACCCAGTTTTTATTAGGATATTGTCATTTTACCAAGATCATTACAAAGATACCTTAGATTAATGTTTAAATACTAAAAAAAAGCCTCTTGCTTACAACAACTGGATGTAGGGCCTTTGTTAACAGTCTGCTTGTGACAGCTTCGTCTCTCCCCATACAAGTCAATAGCAATACAAATGCAGCTTGAGGACAAATGTAGGTGAGAAGGAGGTCAACTGCAAGTCATATGCACCTGTCAATGAACTGCAAATTCTCAGAAGCTTCTCAAACTGATCTCTAAATGTAAGAAAATGACACGAAATATGATTTTTTTATGTCATATTCCTTTTCTCGAAGCATAGGATGGGAAAAGTTCAATAATAGATGATTGTTACATTCAGGTGCATCAGACTTCAAAAATAGTTTAATTTTAGTTAAACTCAGTACTAAAGCAAGCAGAATGCATCTGGAAGTATTAATACAGAAAATTGTAATACAGAATAGAGACTGAAACCGGGTATCTCACTGGTTGTTAGGCAAGATAAACGGTTATTCACAAAAGGGTGAAGAGTTTGGAGAAGGCAGGAGAAGTGAACAATCTAGGACAACATAGCTGAACTGGAAAGTGACCTGAATTGGAGAATGTTTCCGAATCAGCTATGTTGGCCAAGATTGTTCACTTCTCCGGCCTTCCCCAAATTATTTACCCCTTTGTGAATAACTCTGACATGCTCCTTTCTTCAGCTTTCTATACACTGGTCTTCATTGCTAGATCAGCTTCTTAAAAAGTAAAGGTGTTGCTCTTGGCAAATTTCAATGTTTCAGTTTAAAGATTTGGCATTACTATCTCCTCAGTGCGACCTTTTTATAGAAATGCTCCTAGTTTGAGGGAAACAAAACTAAGTAGATGGTGTGTTTGATGAGGAAAATAAACATACTGAGGTTGCAAGAATGTATTCTTGAGGCATATGCTGTATATACTGTATGTTAAATGGTTTATAAAGCAGTCAGTTATGTCTGGTAGACATGGAAATTGCTTCTCTCTAATGATACTCTGTCTTGCCTCTCTCCAGATCTACGAATACATTGACGGAAAGCACACTAGACCTAAAAGTCAGTTTATGGGTCGCATTCATTGGAGTGGGAGCAAGGATCTGCAGGATGTTTCCATTGTATTACATAATGTAACCATCACTGATGCAGGGAAATTTGTTTGTCAGGTTAACCGTACGCTGCGTTATGAGGCTCATCAACACTCCATTCAAAGCAGTTTCGAAATCAGCCTCATTGTCAATGATGTAGGTAAGAGATGCATCATAATATTCTTATTGCCATGAAGGTGCCCTAACCAAACCCTACCTTATCTCCAGGTACCCTGTATAGTACAAGGGTAATTTCTACTTTCAGGTGACCAAAACATATCAAGTCCAAGCTTTTCGGTCATCTTTGCTGAAAACGTTTGCTTTTTTTTTGTAGATGTTATATGTATTTCTTTGTTGCCTACTTAGCAAGGGTTGTTTATTTTGTGTACTGCTCATAAATGATCAGTTGCGTAACAAATGTATCCACAAAGAGGACATCTTAGGCTAGGTTCACACCTGCACTACAGCCGGGACGCGCATCCCAGGGGTCGTGCGGTCCTGCATAATGCAGGCAGCGATTGCCGTGCGGCCCCATTGATTTCAATGGGGTGACATCCGCGCAGCAATCGCAGAAAACACGTACCTCTTTTTTGCGATACACGACGTGCGGTGTGTTCGGAAGCACGGGCAGAATCGCAGCGGGAAAGCGCGCAATCCGTCCTGCGCGACTGGGGTGCCATTAGAAAATAATGGCACCCACAGTGCGATCGGTTCACACCTTGGCGACTCCTCACCGTGCGGAATCGTGCACGATTGTCGCGCGGTGAGGTGTCGCCTAGGTGTGAACCTAGCCCTAGGAAGGACAATAGGCAGCAATGTCTTTCATAATGATGAATGATCTATCTGCATGTCAGCATGATCTATCCCATGATGATCTGTAGAATGCACTTCAAAAGGTCATCATGGGACTTACAGCAGTACTCAGCTGCATCAACCAATTTCTCCCTCTACACCATCTGAAAACGGTAATGCATGAGTCTGTCATTAGGGGTAGCTGTCATTTCTGCCATTATCTGTAAAGGTGGGAGCGGCGTTTTCTGACACACTGATCTATTTCTGTCATAATGGTAGTTTCCTGCAGGCTGAACCGCTGTTGGCAGCAGCTGCACACACTGAATAGTCAGGTTTGTAAGAAGAGTAGGTGGCAGTGAATTCAATTATGACATTGCAGAAAGCCTATGTTCACTAACCCAACCATGGAAACAAAGTAATTCAGCGAGAAATCATGCCGAGGCTTACGCAGAGCAAGACTGACACTGAAAGCAATTGTCTTTACCTTCTTGCACGCAACATTTTATCTTCCAGCATAACATGCTTATGCTGCTCATTGCTTGCTACATTTCATCTGTATTATATATGATCATCAGGATTTATCAAAAACAGAAGGAAAGAAAAGTGTGTGGGCTACCTTGTAGAGCAGGCGTAGGCGTAGTAACCTTGGCACTCCAGCTGTTGTGGCACTACAAGTCCCATAATGCATTGCTAGACTAACAACCATGGGCACGATTTCCATAGACAGATGCATAATGGGATGTGTAGTTTCATCACAGCTGAAGGGCAGAAGTTTGGCTACCCCTGTTCTAGAACTTACATAGAGCTTGAAACAAAGAGAGGGGACATAATGTGAACTGATGTAATACACTTATGTTCACAAAGCCAGGACTCTGTCCACATAGAAAAGGAATATATTAGCACATATCAAAATAAAAGAAGAGTATCCCCTGCTGGCGTGTTTCACACAACCCTGGCCTTAATTGTAAGGGATACATTTCACTTCTCTCAGCAGTAGCCTTCCAATCTCTAGTATAAAATAAGAGCAGCTACTCTGGTAGGGAGGAATAGAGTGAACGTCGCTGCTATGAGGACATTAACTCACTTATGAAGTGAATTTGAGAACACATTCCTGCACAGTGCCTGCAGCTACACAGGTTAGTGAGGACTGGTTTTAAGGGCTCATTTAATAGCTGGATGTCTATAGCTGAGTGAGCAGGCAACCTTAAAGTGACATTAAAGTGTAATTTTATTTTCCCTCCCCCCAATGTTAGTGTAAGCACTTACCTTAAATGATGTCTCTTTATCCGATTGTCTTCTTCTTTCCAGGAGTTTTCATCTGTCCCTCCAGCGGTGCTGCGGGTCTCCGATCCAGCGCGGACTCCTCTGTGCTTGCTGGCACTTCCTGTCCCATGCTGTCTGCATGCGGGTGCACGCGTCCATATACTTACCTTGTGTCTCTCCTCGTCTCCCGGCCAAGAATCTGAATGCGCATGCACGCGCCCCAAGATTTTTCAGATTTTCGGACGGGAGCGCGCGGGGAAGACACAGGTAAGTTTAAACCCTTTTTAAAGCGTTTTTTTTTTTTTATGGTTTTGCATATATCTACTGCTTCTAGCAGTAGATATATGCAAAAAAGGAGGGTTTAATAACCCTTTAAACTGAGCGCTTATATAAATACCCTTTCATCCCTGCCAGACTCCCTCTGTTCCTGTGGACACTTGTGCGTACAAAGACTCTCTATAGCACTCCCAGGGTGTACAATTAACAAATAATTGTGAAATTCCAGCTACAAGAGAGCGACATCTTCATTATTTACTTATGGGGATTAGATATATGGGAGATGGAGCTTAGTGACATTCTATTGTGCCAATTCTGAAAAGTAATAAAGATTCAAAACCCAAAAGATCGATCTAAACCGAGCTTTATTTCCATTCACGCAGCCACCGAAGATTTTACTTCCGTCCTCTCAGAGATCATGATGTATATCCTTCTGGCCTTTCTCACATTGTGGCTTTTGATAGAAGTCGTTTACTGTTACAGAAAAATCTCTAAGGCTGAAGAAGTGACTCAGGAAAGTGTGTAAGTATGTTCTGTGTTCTAAGACAACAATTGAAAGTCAGTGCTGTGTGTGGCACGGGGTCAGATCCATATTACCCATTGTAGGATAGAAATTCACTATTCACCTCCTACAGCAGCAAGCAGCCCTACAATCATTGTTTCTGTAGTCTTAGACTTGGTCTAAAGCTAGCCATACACCTGCAGATTTTCTATGGACGGATGGAAAAAGTGCAACAGATTCCTCCATCTACGCTAAACTGTGTGGATGGAGGAACCTCAGACTGGGCCAAGCTTCAGTATCTTGCTAGTCGGTCCCGCTGGCTGTCAAAATACCTGAACAATCTGATTGGATGCAGGCATTGTTCAGTTATTTTGACAGCCAGAGGGGCCGACTAGCAAGATACTGAAGCTTGGCCCAGCGGGAGATCCCTCCATCCACACAGTTTAGCGTAGATGGAGGAATCTGTTGCACTTTTTCCATCTGAACACAGAAAATCTGCAGATAATCTATAGGTGTATGGCCAGTTTAAGAGATGTTAGGAAGGTTTTATGTACCATCAATATGTATGCAGAGAGATGTGATTCCCCACACAGCTTTCTGAGACAAAAGATAGAAATTCTCATCTAACAAAATGATTCAAGCACCTAACACCTAAGTGCAGATTTAATCACACATTACTGTGCGCTAGGTGCGTTGCATTGCCATTCATTTGAATTGCAGCCCAGTGCACCTCCTGGCTGCTGTGGGCTGCTTTAGGGAACAGAAGGAGCCAGAAAATTGTAAGGGTAGGGCTTCCTTTGCATAATCTTAATCTTTTGCTATTGAAACATCCAACCACTTGTGGGCATTTGTCTCATCTGCAGCAATATCAGATTAATGTTCTGTTAAAAAGATAATTATCACAAAGTGGTTAATTCTCTCCGCAGCAAGATATTGAAACTGCCCTAGCCCCATAGTTGCAAACTTGCTTGATTGTCCTAAATATATCTAAGGTGCGCATGTTCTTTACTATTCTGACTGCTGATACTTTCTCTAATGTATAGCATGAGACATGAGGGCTGGTTTTTAAATCTCCTGCCCTATGCTCTTCCATCCTTTGCGCCACGGCTCCATCTACTGGCATTAATGCTGTGCGAACGGCATTCACCCAGCTATATGTTGAGCAGAAGATTTGTAAATCAGCTCCATAATGGATATAATTTGTCAGCACTGACATTATATATATATATATACATACACTTGTGCTCATAAGTTTACATACCCTGGCAGAATTTATGATTTCCTGGCCATTTTTCAGAGAATATGAATGATAACACGAAAACCTTTCTGTCACTCATGGGTAGGGTTTGGCTGAAGCCATTTATTATCAATCAACTGTGTTTACTCTTTTTCAATCATAATCCCAACAGAAACTACCCAAATTACCCTGATCAAAAGTTTACATACCCCAGTTCTTAATACAGTGTGTTGCCCTCTTTAACATCAATGGCAGCTTGAAGTCTTTTGGGGTAGGTGTGGATGAGGCTCTTTATCTTCTCAGATGGTAAAGCTGCCCATTCTTCCTGGAAAAAATCCTGCAGGTCCTGTAAATTCTTGGGCTGTCTTGCATGAACTGCACATTTGAGATCTCCGCAGAGTGGCAAAATGATATTGAGGTCTGGAGACTGAGATGGCCACTCCAGAACCTTCACTTTATTCTGCTGTAGCCAATGACAGGTCTACTTGGCCTTGTGTTTAGGATCATTGTCATGTTGGAATGTCCAAGTACGTCCCATGCGCAGCTTCCGGGCTGATGCATGCAAATTGTCCTCTAGTATCCTTTGATAACATACTGCGTTCATCGTGCCATGAATTCTGACCAACTTCCCTGTGCCTTTGTAGCTCACACATCCCCAAAACATCAGCGACCCACCTCTGTGTTTCACAGTAGGAATGGTGTACTTTTCATGATAGGCCTTGTTGACTGCTCTCCAAATGTGGCGTTTATGGTTGTGGCCGAAAAGCTAAATTTTGGTCTCATCACTCCAAATGACTTTGTGCCAGAAGGTTTGAGGCTTGTCTCTGTGCTGTTTGGCGTATTGTAAGTGGGATACTTTGTGGCATTTGCGTAGTAATGGCTTTCTTCTGGCGACTCGACCATCCAGCCCATCTTTCTTCAAGTGCCTCCTTATTGTGCATCTTGCAACAGCCTCACCAC